ACTACCATTGCCTCTGCGCGTCCGTCCCCTGCCCAGAATGTTAGGGGCAGGTCTAAAGTTTCTGTGGCCATCGTAGCAGATATATACAATGTGGGGCTTTATAGACAGACAGTGCCCCCCAGTCCGGAGGCCGGAGTCTAAATCCGGGAGTTGGTCACGTCCATCCTTCTGGGGGCCTCTCTCCCCACGCTGGTGCATCTGCCTCTGCTGTCACGTGGGGTCTGCCTCCCCCCATGTGACCCCACCTCCATGTCTGTTCCCAGCTTTATCAAGACTCCGTTCATATAGGAGTCCTGGTGTGGCGCTGTGGGATAAGCACTGGACTGCTGACCACAAGGTTGGTGGTTCAAACCCACCAGCTTCTACTTGAAAACCCTAAACAGGGTTGCTATGAGTCAGAACTGACCACGGCACTTCACAACAACATACAGGATTATAAGTATGGTCACATTCTTTTAGATCTTCAAAGACCCCACGTCCCCAAACAAGGTCACATTTGCAGGTCCTGGCTCCTAGGACTTCAGCATCTTTGGGGGGGACACTCCTTAGTGCATACCCAGGTACTATCTCCCACATACAGCTCCAGCCTTGTGGAAACCCAGGCGTGTGGCCAGATGCCTGGGCCTCAGTTTCCCCCCGTCCCCAGACAAGGGTCCCTCCATCCCTGACCTCCTGAATCCAGCCCTGTTCTGTGCCCTTCTCCAAGGTCTTTATCCCCGGCTGCCCACCCCAGGTTCACCTTCCAGATTGTATTTGAGTGTAAACAGGTGATAGACCCTCAGAAGCTTTCTTTCTGCTCATCCTGGCACCACCTCTCACACTTCTCAGTGGAGAGTAGGAACAGGCCCCAAGCATGGTGACTCAGCCTTCCCCAGCAGCCCTGTGCACTCTGGAAAGATGAAGCCAGGGTGGGCGGCCGGGGACGCAGACCTTGGAGAAGGCCACAGAGCAGAGCTGAACCCAGGAGGTCAGGGATGGAGGGACCCTTGCCTGAAGCGGGGATACTGAGGCCCAGGAAGGGGAGGGCCAGTCAGCACCACACGTTTGGCCATGTGCCTGGTTCCCACACAGCCTGGCAGTGGCCCCAGGGTATGCCCCACCCATGGAGAACTAACGTCTGAGTCAGGGGAAAAGAGTACACAAAGATTTAAGAAACGGAAAATAAAACTCGAGAACCCAAGTTCGGGATTGTGTGTGGCGAGGAGGAGGGGCTGACCCCTCTGAGAAGTGACATTTAAGCTTGTGTGGCATTTGAGAAGGACCGGCCTTCTGTGGGTGAGCAGCATTCCAGGCAGTAAGGGAGGGCTCAGGGCGGGCATGAGCTCGGTATGTCCAAGAGGACCAGTGTGGCTGGAGGAGTGGCCAGGGTCACACGTTGAAAACTAGGTTGAGGAGGCTGAGATGGGGTCTGCGTAAGAAATCACTGGGTGGGGAGGGGGATGGATGATGTGGGTTTACCTCTGAATTTAGCAAAATAACCGCTTTCCTGCCCTGACCCCCAGCTGAAACCATGTATGAGAATGCCCAGAGTAATGGAAGGGGTCAGTGTGAAGACCAAAGGAGAGCTGTCTTCAAGTTCAAGGAGGCTGTGGCCTGCATGGGGAGGAGCCACTGACCTCCCTAGCTGAGTGGCTCAGAAGCGATTCTCTTCTCTGGGTTGGCCTGGGGGTCAGCACACAGAGGGTCCTCACTGGTACACATGGGTGTTGCTGAATGGTGCCCGTTCTGAATGGTGGGTGTCTGTCCACACTAGTCCACACTAGTCTGATCATTTGAATTTCACCTCTGATGTGTTTAACTGTTGGATAAATGGGAAAGAAGAGGGGGACATTAGGCTGGTCAGCTGACCATCTACAAAGGTTCATGAAAAATGCATAGATGGATGGATGAGCAGATGGGTAGATGTAGATAGATGGATGGATGAG